TTCCAACGTTCCCCTTGCCCTTCCCGCTTCTCCAATGCTCTCGCCTCCTGGCGCGCTCCTATGGTCAGCGCTGATTTGGTCAGCTGGTCCATAGACTCCGCCCTGGGCGCCCGGGAAAGTTCGTCTTTCACAGCCGAAGAAAGCCCTTCTTCAAAGAGCATTTGAATGGGTTCCGCCGATAAGTCCCACCCCAATCTGTGAACCAGCATGGTGAACTCAGTCCAGTACTCACGGACAGATCGGCTCCCCTGTTTGCAAGCCATTAACTGTCTGCGCACCACTCCCTGTTCAATATCGCTGGAAAACATCAGATCCATGGCGCGAAAGAACTTCATCGTGTCCTTTAGGACGTCACTATTCGCTGCCATCAGGGGTCTAACCCAGTCTCTCGCCCCCTTTTCAAGATGCTCAATCACGAAAGCCACTCGTGATTCCTCGTCAGGGAATTCATCAAACTGCAGATTGAGGGCATATTGCATCTCTGTCCGAAAGCCATGATAGTCTTTGGGCTCCCCCCCAAACTTCTGCACCAATCCTGGTACCTTTCTGGCGAGCTGGGTGGCTTTCCCCTTTTGTCTGCATCCTGAGCCCTCCTCTCCTCAAGCCTCGCCGTCTGCATCGCTAGCTGGACCTCCAACACCCGGTACCTTTCTTCCAGGCTTGGACCCGCTCCAGCTCCTGCTTCTCCGGTTCCGGCTGGGTTGCTCATGATGCCTTCTCCTGCACAAGCTGCTTTCAAAGACTGTCGGAATGCTGTGATGGGATGATGAGCTGCTTGTGCGTAAAATCGTATCCCCTCAGAGTTTGTTTAAGTCCACAAACCTCTGTCTGTGACGGAGCCCCTCAGACATGGCTCCTCTAGTCACTAGCAGATTCCGACAGTGGTTGCTTTCGGAATCGCTTCCAACATAAAAGCTCCTTAACGGAAACACGTCTTCTGGACTCTCTGCGTGTCAGTTTCCGGCGAGGAGTGGGTGTCCCTACAGGAGGTCCTGAAACCTCCCCACTGTTTTCGCTGGAAGTGTCTCTGAGCCATCCCTCCAGCTCACTTTCCCTCAGCTCAGCTCCTCTCCCCCTACTGGTTCCCTCTTCAGCTGCTGAGTCTCTCCCAACCTGTGTGAGCCCTTTCACCTCCCTTCCTTCCGATGGCAGTTCCCTGACAATACCCTATGACTGAACTCTAACCCAACCTTTGGAGAGTAGATACCCGTTAAGCACCACACTTTCCCAAACCAGCAACTGAATCCTGTAATGCTATTTAACACAGCTCTTAGTAATGCATTCAAAATAACATGTAAGGCTTTCAGACTGGGGAGGGGGAGCGGGTGTGCTTCTGCTGGCCCCAGGCCCAACACTCATGCATGCACGGGGTGCGCCTGCCACAACCCAACTTTCTTGTCTTGAGCAGTGAAGTGGGAATGTGGCTTGCAAGTGTGCTCGGCTGAACATGCTTGCCACCCTCTTCACACCTCCCCACTCAACACTGAACGGTTGGAGGTGAACCATGCACACCCAATGTGAAAGCGCCTGCTTTGCCTTCCCTGTTTAAACCCTCATGCATTATATGGAATGCATGAATAGGGGTACGGACTGACCGATCTCAATAAGTTGCTAATGTCATGGAATTCTACTCAATATTGATCCAGAGCAGATTCCAATGTATAGTTAGCAGAGTAACAACTTAAACACGTTGTAGGATTCCCCCCAAATAGACCAGAGGCAATTATATTTCATCCAGCAGAGCTCTACTGCTACTGAAGGCAAATGAGCATAATGGTCACAAATCCAATACATTCAGGATTGGCACAGTCCATAAGAAATCCAGTTGCAGTAGACTTAACTTAAACTTACAATAACTTATAATAAGTCTAAAACCTTTACACTAAGCATATTATGTACAGAACACCACACCAGAAGGAAAAGAGATCGGAAGAGAAAGTGAGCCTGGATAGCTCAGTTGGTTAGACCATGGTGCTGATAACACCAAGGTTGCAGGTTCGATCCCTGTATGGGCCAGCTGCATATTCCTGCATTGCAGGGGGTTGGACTAGATGATCCTCAGGGTCCCTTCCAACTCTACAGTTCTATGATTCTATGATTCTATGAAACCCAGGTTTCTTCTGGCCCTACTTTTATAGTCAGCATGATCTTGACCGATGGGATAACAGGACCAGTTTAAACCAGCTGTACAGTGGTAACTCAGGTTACAGACGCTTCTGGTTACAGACCCCACTAACCCAGAAATAGTACCTCAGGTTAAGAACTTTGCTTCAGGATGAGAACAGAAATTGCGTGGTGGCAGCGGGAGGCCCCATTAGCTAAAGTGGTACCTCAGCTTAAGAACGGACCTCCAGAACAAATTAAGTTCTTAACCAGAGGTACCACTGTACTCAGTTTTTCTGAAGGTATAACCCAAACATCATGAACTTTCTGCTTGTTTCTTTCACACAAAGAAGTTTCCAGAACCCTCTTGAATTAATTAGAATACGAAAGAGCTCTACACATCAGATCAATACTTTCTCTACTAAGAAATGCAAACTGACAGCTAATCCCCCAAACAGAAATAAAATAAAATGAATGACATTAAAAGCTCTAAAACCAAATTCTTCAAGTATGCTTCCTTTCAGATAAATAGAGTATGTGTGTCCAAAAGCTATTGCTGGGGTGGGAGAGTAGTTGCATCTGAGCTGATCAAGATTTGCCATTTTCCCCACTTCAGATTGTAGATGTAGGCAAACATCCTATAAAATACACGTATCAGACAGGACTAAGGTTTTTATTCCAGCAATTCCTGTATCTTTCACACTTGAACTTGCCATGGTGTGTAGATCAAGGATGGCTAACCTGCAACATTTCACATGTTATTAGACTCTAATTGCCATAAGCCCCAGCCAGCATGGTCAGTAGTTTAGGGAAATGGGATTTGTACTCCAGTAACACCTCAAAGCTTAGCCATCCCTGGTGTAAACTGTGCCACAAAGGCATGCCATAGGCATTCAGGAATTGCCTGTTTAGACAAATGCAGCTGGACCATTTTGGAGAGAGAATATTTCTGGGGTATTTTAACAGATGCCTAAATTAAATATTTAGCTATGATCAATTATGCATCTAATATTTGCAGAGCTTTCACTAGCCTTGGTGGCTGGCTGTGTAAATGGTATACTGAAATGCAGCATGAAAAAAGAAGCAAAGTCAAGAATTAGGCTATATTTTATTGATTAGGTTGATTCTACATTTTAGTATCCAGTGAATCATAGTCATGAATGAATGGGGAGGGGGAAGCATTTATGTAACTTGCTGTTGAGTACATATATATTGGGCCTAAAGAAGTCAGGAAGTCAGGAACATTTCACATTGTTAGCAGGGATGGTTTGGTCTTAATGCAGAATGAGAACTGTCTCAGGTGGTAGGTGCACAGGAAAAGTAACTGGTGTACCTCCACTCAAATGCCTCATTCTACGGGCCAGGTTGCTCATCTGCTAGCCCTCCAGTTGCCCATGGCATGACTGGCAGCCTTCCCATTAGAGAAGGCAAGGCTCCCTCTCCATCTCCTCCCTGCCTCACTCTGTGGAAGGGCCAAGGGGGTCCTTCTTCAGAGCAAGGCATTCTGGGCAAAGTGGCTGGACTGCACTTGCACCACCACTGCAGCTAGAAATCAATATATTTCAACAGGGCTTTTAGCTGCAGTGGAAGTTCAGGTACTCTCCCGGCCACTTCACCCAGAATGCCTTACAATGAGGAAAGATGCCCTTGGATCTGTCCCACAGTGATGCTTGGAGGCAATGGAGGGGCTGGTGGAGAATATGCCACTGTTACTGCAGTGGTAAAAGGAGTAAGTAAGGAGGACTAGGAATTGGAGGAGGAGGAGGAGGAGTTTGGATTTGATATCCCGCTTTATCGCTACCCGAAGGAGTCTCAAAGCGGCTAACATTCTCCTTTCCCTTCCTCCCCCACAACAAACACTCTGTGAGGTGAGTGAGGCTGAGAGACTTCAGAGAAGTGTGACTGGCCCAAGGTCACCCAGCAGCTGCATGTGGAGGAGAGGGGAAGCGAACTCAGTTCACCAGATTACGAGTCTACTGCTCTTAACCACTACACCACACCACACCACACTGAGATGAGGTGGGTGACAGAGGGAAGAGGAGGAGTAGGGTTGGCAAAGTCACCTTTTGCCACAGGCATCACAATCTTTTGCATCATCCCTGATTGTTCGCTTTCAATTTCCATAGCGACAAGGAAGCATATACTTGCTGCCTTAGTCATCTACTCATATCTACTCATAAGTACCTATCACTGAGTTCAATGGGACATACTTTCTGCAATATACATTATGCTTAGGATCCCATCCATGTTCTTTTGCACATTTTGAAGAATGGTTTTAGCTGATTCTTCAGAATCTTGGCATTTGGGGCAAGAGCTAGGAAAGAGATGGAATATATATATATATATTCTAAAACATGGGAAATCGGCAATAAAATGAACTATGGAACACACCAAATAGAGATGTAGGCCTGTTGAGAGCGGGACTCTAGGTTCTGCACGGAAAATTGTTTTCAGCCATTACCTGCATTTTCTAAACATAAAACTACGGGCTGAACTAGACTTGGAATTAAACGTGTCACTCAAAGTGCTGTAGTTATTTTTTAATTGTTAATAGGTGCCACTGTGGAGAACATTTTTGTTAGGACCATGGCATCTGGGTAGAGATGATGTGGTCCTAATGAAAATCATGGAAAGCAGTATCATGTCTAAATCTGCCATGCCCCTCACTATTAATATAAGGAAATTTCATTAGAAAAATGAAAATATGCATTTTCTACTTTCTTCAGAAGTAGCATTCCACTATAAAAGCCCAATTTCACAATAAAAGCCTGTGTGATGTTCCCAAAGTCAGGTACTACAGTATTATTTTTATACTCACTTTTGGTCCTCAATCTTGATGCTGCCTGGAAGATTGCAATAATTCTTTTCTCTTTTTCTTTTCTTTTTTCTTCTTTCATGGTCAAAGCCTAAGCGGAACTGCTGCTTATTTCTATTGTTGAGGTGCACTTCATTTTCACCTCTCCAATATGGAGCCTAATTGTTGGTTGTCTATTTTCCCTGTAATATAATACTTCTGCATTGAAACGATAGTCATCTCTCTCACAAATAATACTCAGTACGAGTTCCTTTCATGAGAAAGACCAGATCTAATTCTCCATAACTGCTAATTTGCTGTAATGAAGGTGCTATGTTCTTTAGCAACCTTAAATTACAGTCTTTTAGGATTTATTCCACTACATTGTTATTACTGATAAGGACAATTATAGGACAGTTCCCCACCACCAACACACACACACACACACACACACACACACACACAATTTCCCCCTTTTAAGTGTTACAAATTTAATGCATATTTTCCTGTCCAGGGATCTGCAGTTTGTTGCACTGTAATTTGAATAGTTTTGAGACTAGCATTATATATCACATTAAGAGAAGTTGTAAATTTTAATACCCATTTTCTGAGTAAATTACTGTTTCAAAGGAGACAGCAGAGTGTGGGTTGAGACAGTAATGTGCTATAGGTCTCTTGACTTGCTGCTTGATCTAGAGCTCTACTTATCTTCCAATATGCACACATCTTAACTACCAATTTCCCCAAGCATTGTTTTAGCATCCCACACATGTGCTGGGAATGCTTGTACTGCTGTTTTCCCAATGTCAGAACATGGAGGTCTCTGAGCCTGGGCAAAAAAAGGTAATGCAGAGGTTTGTTAGGTGGCTTAATAGCTAATATAAAGGCACCTTAGTGACATTGTTAAAATCCCCATCTCATTTGCTTTCCCAGACATTTGCAGAGGTTCATTAAAAAGCCAGAGGTCTTTCTGAGCTTCTTCCTGAGAGTGCTAAAAAAAAATTATTGCAGATGAATTGTCCACCAGTCTACTTCCCAACCCACCATACCTGCTACAAAATGGTGGAGGGGTGTGGTGGCAGGAAGGGTGGGAGCAGATCTCCCAGTGGGGCAGAGCTGCAGTAATAGCCTCCTGGCAGAAATGTCCTTGCTGCTTACTGGGAGGGGAGAGGGTGAGGTGGTGGCGAGATCATGGCTGGATAGTTGCACCAGTGGCAGTGTCGGATTGACTCTGCCAGTGCTCCCACACAGCTCTGACCTGGCTGCCACCTCTCTCAATAAGCAGCAGCGATGCTGTTGCCAGGAGGCGATTGCTGCCCCACTGGGTGAGGCAGTCCTGAAGAACAGCATGCTGAATCTAGGCCTTTTCCTGAACAGGGAAAATGCCTTTCCATGCAGCATTCTTGGGATTTCTAGGGATTTATGTTTCCTGAATCAATTAATGTGAATTTAATTCATGACCAGGACCTGTATTTCCAGCTAATCCTAGGCCTGCAAGGCCTCTTCTCACTCCCCACGTGAGATTCTCTTCCTGCTAGTTTCCCCATCTTTTAAAAATCATTTTTATTGATTTTCCAATAAAAAACATCCAATTAATATATCCAATCATAATACTCCAATTAAAATAAAAAACTAAAATAAATAGACCAAATTATAATTATTATTTTTTTGGATCTCCCCATGATCTGGATCTCTGAAGCACAGTTTCCCCATCTTTTTAGTGGAGTAAGTTGGTTGAAGGAACTACAAGGAGTAGTTGGCTGGTAAGGCTCCATTCCCAACTAGGCCCAGTTCAACATGAAGTATGAATACCCAAGCTCCCATTAAGTCAATTCCCCACATCCAATACTTTGCCTCACACATTCATTTCATTGGAGCTGACTTTTAATTTGAAGGCCTTTCAAAAAACTCTGCTTATCGGAGAAGAAAACGACAACAACAAATGGAAAATGAGTTCCCAATATGAGAAAAAGTTTTGAAAGGTGGACCCAAACTTCCACAACAACAAAACCAATGCTGAATCCTTCCATTTGTCATTCACAGTAAAATCCAGTTATAGCAAAGTAGGACCTTGCAGGGATATTTTTATGTGTTTGTTTATATGGATTTACAAGTTTCTGAAGCATTCGACAACAAATGGCAATTGTTTCATTGCATTTGAATGGGTCGTAAGTGATTTGTTCTGTCCATGAGCTTCTGGACTTACATTTTTCTTTTATAAAACCTTCAGATTCTTCAGAGTGATACAGTTCCTGCCAAAAACTGATAAATATAGTATCACATTCCATAATAAATGCATTAGCACACTCCATAAAATAAACGCATCCATTAATAGTATAAGATATTGCCTGCTTCAAGAAAACCTCATCTACATGTTCAAAGGCTAATGTATTTTATATCAGTGATAGTAATAGCAACAAAAAACCCCCACAATTTAATATTGGAAACCACTTTTTTTAACCTGAAATGAGAGGTGAGGTGTGCTCAGTGTGCAATATATTTATTAGACATAATTTAATTGGCTTTTAGCTTTTCAGGATATTTGTTGCGATATGGAGCAAGAGTCCTTAGTAACTTCTGCTTAGTTACTATGGCAACAGTGAAGTCTGAGCTCATTAGAATTTTTCTCATGAGGCTCACCAGGGCTTGTAAAACTCAACTGCTACTTTAGAGAAAATACTAAACAAATGGAAAAGGCATATATCATTTGTGAAAGAGTGGCGCATGACTTCCAAAATCAAATATCTCATATTTTGGAAACCCAAGATGGAAAGCTACCATTCTGCCTCAGGTATGTTGTGGATCGGGTATCTTAAAAACTTATCTCTTTAAAATGGCTGTGTACTGTAAACAGGCATGCTGAACTACAGTAAGTGTGCACTGTCCCAACAGCAGAAACCAGCCATCTAACTCCCTCTTTCATTTCCTTTCATGGCCCGGGGAAAAGCTCTGCTTCAGACCTGTGTTAAGAACCCACCCAGGGGAGCTGTGAATAACCCCGTTCATCAGCCTCTTAAAATGACCAATACCTACATGAAGCTTAGATTCTATCATTAAGGTTCAACAGACAGCCCAGTGAAGACACCATTTTTGTCTTGGCGAGGATCTGCATAAACAGGCTATGCTTGTACATAGAATCCTTCATGCTGACTAAATGAAGGTACTCACTGCCTTGAACTTGCTTAGCTGCACAGAAGCTGTGGTGTAGTTATGCATGGCACAGGCGTTTCCAAGTGAGGTGCCTGTCATGGCAGGTGGACCTGGCAGGCTAAGCTGCAACTCTAGTTACTCACCTTAATATTATCATTATGATAGGAATATGTGGTTGCCTATTGCGTGTTAAGATTCCAAGACCTCCCTCAATAACTACTGTAAAGACACAATTGACATGGAATTTAGTTTAAGGTTATTGGCATAATTTTGGCCACAACTTTATTGATTACAGATCATGAGTGGTTTGCTTAGGCATTGGTTCCTGACTAGCTGCACCTGACCTTGGCAGGGCAAAACTGACGCCTGGACTCTGGCAGACGTCAGTAAGGGAAAACATCCTGGGGAATATTGGACCAGGTTCAGATTCAAGCTCACCCCAAATGCTGCCATGGGCTCTGGCGTGGCCCTAACCCCAGAAGGGGATCGGACAAAAGCAAGCCGAGCCCCTGGATTCCTTTAACGGATTACCCTTTCGCGCATTGGAGGGGCAGGTGTGACAACCTCCCCTCAACTCCACACATTGAACCAATGCCTAACCGCCAAACCTTACAAAATTGTGACGATTTGCTACATGGCAAGCGAAACCCAAGTGGCACCAGCCAATCAACCAAATGGGAAAATTCCCCTGTCCCAAGAACAGACGACCCATGGCGGCATAGCAAGGTCATAATGAACCCTAAACATAGGGAGGGTGAGCAGGTGATCTAATGCATGAGATGAAAAGAGGAAGCTCAACACAACATGCAGCAGTAAATATAGGTCACTCGGTTAATGCATGAAACTATCCCATTGGCCAGAATTACCCCAGCAACCGAGGGAACACCAATCAGGTTGTTGTGGCTATCCAATCGCTCCCACCCACAACAGCAGTGAAGTCAGCCTTGATTATCTCACTGCAACGTGTGCTCTCTGGGAGGAGGACACGATTTGTTAAACTCATAGTAAAGCAATGGGCGGTGGGCAGTCAGACAGAAAATGTGGTCATTTTCTTTAAAACATACACCTCCCCAACATACTAGCAGATTTAAGACAGACTAGTGAGATTTAAGACAGACTACTGGACGCGGGTGGCGCTGTGGGTTAAACCAGAGAGCCTAGGACTTGCCAATCAGAAGGTCGGCAGTTCGAATCACTCGGTGGCGGGGTGAGCTCCCGTTGCTCGGTCCCTGCTCCTGCCAACCTAGCAGTTCAAAAGCACATCAAAGTGCAAGTAGATAAATAGGTACCGCTCCAGTGGGAAGGTAAACGGCGTTTCTGTGCGCTGCTCTGGTTCGCCAGAAGCGGCTTAGTCATGCTGGCCACATGACCCGGAAGCTGTACACCGGCTCCCTCGGCCAATAAAGTGAGATGAGCGCCGCAACCCCAGAGTCGGTCACGACTGGACCTAATGGTCAAGGGTCCCTTTACCTTTTAGTGAGGGCTCTTTGCGCCAAATCTATAGGGAATCACCACACAGCTATATTTCTGTGCTCCTGCAGACAGATTTCACGTGGCTTTAAAAGTTTCATGCATTTGTTTCATAATTTATGTGTTACATTGTTGCTGTGGTTGTATTTTTATTGTTTCCTGTTTCCACATTTAAATAAAATCAGGAAACAGTAACAAGCAATGCCCAGTGTGGAAGGAAAATGTCCTGTCTGGGCCAGCCACAAATTACACCCCCTTGCCACGTCATCCTGTCATCAACATGGGAATGCCCAAAATTCCCCTGCTGTCTCAAGGCTAAAAAATCTTTTTAAAAAACTTTCAGTATTTGCTACAGATATTAATAATTCTAGTCCTTGAAACACTAATAGCCCATTCTCAAGGCTCAATATATTCTTACACGAAGCAATTAAGCTTAAGGGAATTAATTTATCTTGTAATGCAACCTATATCTTGTGAGATACAGATTGCAGAGTTTTGATCAATGGATGCTGTATAATTGAAAATGTGTTTTTACAGAAAAATACTTTATGTGCTTCTAATTCCCAGGATACTTTAGTAGTTTTGATTGATGTAGAAAAAAAGCAAAGCCAATGGACTATCATCTGCATTTAACTATTTGATATATGGCATTATTTATTTCCAAACCACATCCCTTTTAAAACAAAAGTAACTTTTTAAATAAATAAGAACTCTTTTGTGTAATTACAGGATGTTATCAGGGAACTCTACCATGTGTCTATGCATGTGTATATATTTATTCATATATGTAAGATTCTGTGATTCTATGATGCATCTCACAATGATTATGGAAGCCACAATTTTCAAAAGTAAAGAATCATAGAACTGTAGTTGGAAGGGACTCATAGGGTCATCTAGTCCAGGCTTCCTCAGCCTCAGCCCTCCAGAAGATTTGAGACTACAGTTCCCATCATCTCTGACCACTGGTCCTGCTAGCTAGGGATTATGGGAGTTGTAGGCCAAAAACATCTGGAGGGCAGAGGTTGAGGAAGCCTGATCTAGTCCAAACCCCTGCAATGCAAGAATCTCAACTAAAGCATCCATGACAGATGCTTAAAACCTGCAAGGAAGGAGAGTCCACAACCTCCCAAGGGAGTCTGTTCCACTATCAAACAGCTCTTACTATCAGAAAGTACTTGCTAATGTTTAGTTGGGATCTCCTTTCTTGTAACTTGAATCCATTGGTTTGAGTCCTACCCTGCAAAGCAGGAGAAAATAACCTTGCTCCATCTTGTGACAGCCCTTGTAATATATGAAGATGGCTATCATATATCTTCTCAGTCTCCTATTTTCCAGGCTAAACATACTCAACTCCCTCAACCATTCTCATAAGTCTTGGTTTCCAAACCTTTGATCATCTTGCGACTCAGTTACACTGGCAAAGAAAGAGCACTTTATATGCATTGCTTATGCATTCTAACACTGTGACACCAGATGGCGCTGTGGAGGTCTGTTTTTTCTCAACCTGATTTCTCATACAAAGTTGAAAAAGCATTTAACTGAAGCACTTCTTTGATGTGTCTAGATCCAGCCTTGGTCACCCTCCTTAGCATCTGTTCCAGCTTACCAACCCCTTGTGGTGCCCAGAAATAGACACAGTACTTCTGGTGTGGTCTGATCAAGGCAGAACAGAGCAGAACCATGACTTTCTTTTACGTAGCCTAAATAGCATTTTCCCCTCTCTCTTTTTTGCTGCTGCTGAATCACACTGTTGACTCATGTTAAGCTTGTGATAGCGTGTTCTTCTTCATGAAGAGCACGTGTTGCGGTGGGCGCCAACAGGACAATCCAAAGTTGTGGGGCGGGCTAATTGATCGTTGGCCACTGATGCGACTGGGGCTTCCCTTGTTGTTGGGAAGACGTTAATGTTGCCATTTGTTGATTGACAGCCAGAAATGCTAAAACTCCTTGCACGAGGCTAGGGCTTCCTCTTTTCGCTCGTGCATCGGATTGCCCGTCCCCCCCTCCCTAGAATTAGGGTTGTTCGCTTTGACCTTGCTATGCCTGTCATGGGGTCATCTGCTCTTGGGGCAGGGGCCCGGTAGGAATTTTGTCCATCTGGCTGATTGGCTGGGGCCATTTGGTTTTTGCCTACTGCGTAGCAAATCGTCACAACTTGTAAGGTTGCGGTTAGGCATTGGTTTATGGTTTGGTTGGTTGAGGGGCATGGATTGGCTGTGCCTGCCCCTCTAATGCTGTTGCTGCAAGGGATTCTGTTAAAGGAATACAGGGGCTCACTATTGCTTTTGTCCACTCTGTCAAGGGGCTCAGGCCATGCAAGAGCCCCTGGTTGCATTTGGGGAGGGCTGAGGGCAGGTTCCCCGCTCCATTTCTACCCCCAAGTGTATTCCCCTTTTCTGACTTTTGCAGGCGTGCGGAATGTCAGTCTGTCCCCCATGGGGGTGCAGATAGTCACAACCAATGCCTAAGCAATCATTCACATTTTTGTATTTTAATAAAGTTGTGGCCAAAATTATGCCAAAAACCTTAAACAAAAATTTCTGTGTGGTGTGTGAGTTATTGGGGTGGCCCTCGGGACCTCGACACGCAACTAATTCGACACCTAGATCCTTTTCACATGTACTTCTGACAAACCAGGTGTACCCCTATCTTATAGTGGTGCATCTGGTTCTTCCTGCCAAAGTGCAGAGCCTCACATTTGTCCCTACTGAAATTCATTTTGTTGTTCGTTTGGGCCCAGTTCTCCAATCTGTTAAAGTAATCTTGAATCCCAATTCTGTCTTCTGCAGCAGTAGATACCCCTCCCAGTTTGGTGTCATCTGTAAATGAAACTGCTCCTTAGGTTATATATCTAGTAGTCTCCCCTATTAGAGCATAGAAAGTTGCCTCATTCTTTATCTTAATATTTCTGTGAGATCATAGGCAAGAATCCAATCAAATATTACTAGGCAAGCAAGAACGTACAAAGTTCATGTCAGAGTAAGTGAAATGATACATTAAGTGCTAGTTTAAAGACTTCTAGCCACACAATTAATCTATTTTACTATCACCTCTGGCACAACATATTACCTCATAGGGAAAGAAGTGTATAGAATAGCTTTTCTCCATCCCTGCTCCTAATAAATGATAAGCGCCATCTCTTCAAGAAGTAAAGGACTCCCATATTCCTCAACAGAGCCATGTCTCCACCTCAGCGCCTGCATGGGAATAAACAGGCAGCAGAATTAATTTACACAATTTATAATTTATATGTCATTATAAGTCTTTATATGCCAGGCAAAAACCTTCCTCTGTAACCAGGCCTTTGACTCTCCATGGTCTTTCAGAAGTGGGTGGGATATTCTTAATGTATTTATCCTTCCTCATAGTTTTAATGTATCTATATGTGGGGCTTGTTGTCTATTTGTTTGGTTGTAAGTTATTTTGGGTTGCCCTGGGCAAGGTAAAGCGACAGACTAGCTTGGGGTATGGAAGAAGAAGAAGAAGAAGAAGAAGAAGAAGAAGAAGAAGAAGAAGAAGAAGAAGAAGAGTTTGGATTTGATATCCCACCTTTCACTCCCCTCCAGGAGTCTCAAAGCGGCTAACATTCTCCTTTCCCTTCCTCCCCCACAACAAACACTCTGTGAGGTGAGTGGGGCTGAGAGACTTCAGAGAAGTGTGACTAGCCCAAGGTCACCCAGCAGCTGCATGTGGAGGAGCGGAGACGCGAACCCGGTTCCCCAGATTACGAGTCTACCGCTCTTAACCACTACACCACACTGGCTCTGGAAGCCCCCATAGTCCTTGAATTCTTCGTAACAGCTCATTTCAGGAGAGGAGGAAGCAGGGCTATGAGCCCTATAGAGAGTTTTAAAAAATAAAAGAAAACACCCCTATAATTTGTCATTTAAGGAAGTCACTGTATTTACATTTATACATATAGCAGTTAAAATCACTTTCTCCTTAATCACAAGAAATGCAGATTGACTAAATATTGTATGTAGGAATACATCCTTTCCCTCCTCTTCTTCTACCTTTATTTTTAATTTATAGTGGCAATTATTATATTTCTTCGTTGCGATGCACCTGTCTGCTACTGTGTTTTCACAGCTAGAAGCCTTTTTGACAGACCATAAGTAAATTTTTATTACTTTACAAGTTAAACAATAATTTCACTGGCATACTCACTTCAGATCTATGGTGTTTATGATGCTCGCATTCAGCCCCATCAAACAATGCTCCTGCTATTCTTCCTAATACCAAATCAGCATCTTTCTGGCTTTGTGCAATATGTTCTAATCCCACCCTTGTCGTTTCAAAAACCAAATAACATTCTTTTAAATTGTTTGTTCATTGTTAATCGATTATAATTTTATTTCGGTGGGCACTGATTTAATTGTATCTCAACTGCTTTTAAATGACATTCGGAAATCCAGCTATCTGTATATCTGATTGGTACATGCATTTTCAAATACTATTAGCTGGCTGCTGTGGTTCAGAAAAACCTCCGGCCATGGAAAATGCTTTATAAGGGCAATATCAGTGAAAGAAGAGACACAACAAAGTATTAGAGCTATAAAGAGAAAGCAAAGTCACAAAGCGTGCTTAACAAAGCTATTGGAAAATAAAAGCTATTTTAGATGCCTTAATTAAGAAGATGCTGAAGGCAATATAATGGAGATCTGCAGCTTAAGAAGGGCTGCCATCAGGGGTTGGCTTCACTGGGCACCTCCCAAGACCCAGTAGGTTCATCATTGACTAATAGAGATGGTAGTAAAGGTAAAGGGACCCCTGACCATTAGGTCCAGTTGTGGCCAACTCTGGGGTTGCGGCGCTCATCTCGGTTTATTGGCCAAGGGAGCTGGCGTACAGCTTCCGGGTCATGTGGTCAGCATGACTAAGCTGCTTCTGGCGAACCAGAGCAGCGCACAGAAACGCCGTTTACCTTCCCACCGGAGTATTTATCTACTTGCACTTTGAGGTGCTTTCGAACTGCTAGGTTGGCAGGAGCAGGGACCGAGCAACAGGAGCTCACCCTGTCACCGGGATTCGAACTGCCGACCTTCTGATCGGCAAGCCCTAGGTTCTGTGGTTTAACCCACAGTGCCACCCGTGTCCCAATAGAGATGGTATGTTGGCCCTACTGCATCTGTTTTTCATTACTGCCATGTAAAAGAAACCAAGGAAATGGTAGTTAAGGGAAGGAGCCACTTCCTTACCTGCCTGCCTCTGGGTGGATCCTGGACTAGATATATGGGCCTCTGGTCTCATCCAGCAAAGCTTTTCATATGTTTATGTTCAGTACAGTCCTCCAACCTACAGCAGGAGTGTAAACACTGCGGGATTGTTGTATATTAGTCTCTTAGCCCAGGCTGCAATTTGAAGGTAACAGGATCGATAACCACCAGCCTACGACAGGAGCCTAATATGAGCTGAATGAGAAAAAGCAGGAACTCTTCTCTTTGCTGCTACTTTGGTGTGTGAGAGAGCAGTGCTGGATTTACGTATAAGCTAAACAAGCTATAGCTTAGGGCCCCACTCTCTTGGGGGCCCCAAAAAGAATTAAAGTAAAAAAAAATAATGGATGTACGTTTCCAAAATATAAGATAAAAAACAAATAAAATAAAACCTACATACAGCAACAGCGTTTTGTGTTGTGTAGGCTCCTATGATGTAAGTAATGGGCTGTGCCTGCTTAGGCTGCTCCCTAAAATATCACTGGTTTGCTCATTTCTATATATAGGGTGCCTACATTCTGCATGTGCAAATGGCTTTAGATACAGTAACTATTAGGTCCATAAATTACCATATAGCATATATTAAACATAAAAAACAGTGACAATTTGTTGTTGACAAAGGACAGCTGGACATATAAAGGGCCCCATTACCTTCAGTAACTTAGGGCCTCATGAAACCAAAATCCAGCCCTGTGTGTGTGTGTGTGTGTGTGTGTGTATGTGTGTGTGTGAGAGAGAGAGCGAGCGAGCGAGAGAGAGAGAGAGAGAACGCTGCTGCTCAATCCAGCTACAAGAAAACCTTGGGTTTTTCCATCAGTTTGCATGGACGGCTCTCACTTCCATCCTTGGAAAATAGCTTCTCAGTGTGAAGCAGGAAGCCACCTATCTAGACAGTGAGATGGTTCTCTGCGCAACTCTTTTTATCTCTATAGGCTGGTTCATATTTTACTCTGAATGAGGGTACAAGCTATCTCTGAACATGCAGACATATTTATAGAGCTCATCTCTCATGTGCAGACAATACTCATCGAACGCTAATATGACTAAGGTGGAATCTAGACACATATAAACAACGTTGTGGAAAATGCTTTTTTAAAAGCGTTTTGAAAAATATGTTGAATTTGCTCACCATCACCATCTAGTGTTACATTTGCATAATGCACTTAAAACACACTTAAAACATTATATTTTCAGGCGCACAGTCCTATCTGTCTGAGTGTGTATCTCAACTATTTCTGTACAGAGGTACACAGATTGGAAGCAGATTGCATGTAAGTGTGAACTTCCTGTCCCTCCCCCATTCCCAGCCACCCCATTCTATTCTCAGTCCCACCTAGCTATTAGTTCTTTTAACTTCTCAGTCGATCAACATTCACTGCTGTTCAGTTTTTATGCTGCTATTTAAGGGTGTCCCCCACCCTTTATGATCCTGCACCCAACTTCCAAAGCCCCCTCCAGAGTTCTGGCACACTGAAAGCATAAAAGACTTCATCCTGCTCTGTCAAAGCTCCATTGAGCAGAATTGGGCGATTTCACACACCCCTGTTGTAGTATGATAAATACATACCTTTTAAAAACCCCCACTGAATATACTGCAACCGTTCTCACGATCCCTCCACCTCACAAACAAGCAATATTAGTCAAACACATTTTTGAAGAAACAGCTTGTGAGGTTTTAATACCAGAATGAATTATTACTGCACCTTCTGGCATTATATTTCCCTCAAATGTCACACACCCTACTCAAAGTTTATGAGACCAGTTTGCTGGGTCCCTTCAAGGAGGACAATAACTGTTTTGGAAGGAAAGGTTTTGTTCAGCTGGTAATGATTTGACTCAGAGTCTATGCAGGCAGCTGGTATT